GTTTTTCTACCCTAGTATTTATCTCTGTGAAGATTTTTGCTCTTGAGTTCCTGCTACAGTTAAGTTGTTATTCTCTAGATTCACCTATCTCTTAATTTGGGGAGCTTGTGTTTGTCTGATGATCTCAGTTCTCTGATGGATCTAAGATGAGGTGTTGATTTTCAGTTCTGTTTTTTTCTTGTTGTGTGAATAGAAGAGATGATTTTCAAGTTCCTTACATGCTGGAACTTGCTGGACTGGAAACCTGAAATCCCTCCATTGAGGTTTTTTTTTTTTGCTTGTTTCATTGAATAATATTAAATACCTCTTATTTAATATTCATAGCTATATAATGGGGTAACAATTGGAATGGTGATTCCTTTAGCTTATTTAAATCTTCACTGTGCATCTAGTCAAATTGCTAGAAAGTTATAAACATACACAGTATTTTTTTTTAGCTAGTTGAAGAAAACCTTTCATAGAAGTGGCAATCTAATAATAATCAGTGTAAAGAATTGCCATACAACTTTTTTTTTGTAAGACTACACTTTAGCTTTCTCACTGTTAGTTATAAAATAATGTAACACAGTTTTCTTGTATTATTGCTCTTGAAAACATGAGTTCTGATAACAGTATATTGCATTTGATTACATGATAATTGTTCTTTAACATTATAACCTTTTTGTCTTCTAGAAAGCTCGGCGTAAGTAATTTTTGGCTCTCCAATTGCAATTAATTCTCTTATCCTTTCTCTATTTACCATTATTTTAGTTATTGTGGCTTTATTACTGCTTTATTTTTTGTTAAAACTTTCATGTCCATTTTGATAGTAGGTCAGTACAGATAATAAATTAATTATGCTCAAGTATTGCCTGGTAGTGTTTAGGTCTTATACTGTCACCCCCTTTTTTCCCCTGCTTCATACTTACTGTTATTCTCTTCTTTCTTTATAGACTTCTCTTGACCATGATTTGAATTATTCATTTCATGGCTTATCCATAATAAATTATTTGTTCCAGACATACTTTCTCTTGTCACCCCTTATGCTTTATGGTTCCTCTGAGTTCTCTTTGCTATTTTAGTATCAGCTGAAGCCAGATCATTAAGAATGTATTGTACTCCATTCAAAAGGTTTGTTGAAAAAAACTCATAAAGGTACATTTTAAAATGAACTTTAACTGTATATTCCTGTGCTTTCATTATTTAAAGTAGATTGTTGAGGGTATATTTTATTAGGAAAATAAGTTGAATTATATAAACTTTTACAAATTTTTGAAAATTTAATTTCTCAGTCCTCTTCTGTTGTGAGTAAATCTTTGTCTTATTACTTTAATTATTGCAAAATATGTTATAAAACTATATTATGCAATATAATTTCAAACTGATTATCAAAATATGATAGTTTTGGTTAACTAATTTATTATCTTACTATGTTTTTTTTAATTTACAAATTAGGTCTGTGTTTTTCCTTGTGAATTACTAGGTTCACTCAAATGCCAAAATTTAAAGTATTAAATAAATCTTATAAAAGGGCTTGCTATTGGTGTCATTTATATGTCAGTGTCTGTTAAGTTTAGCACACTTTAATGGGAAAAACTTTCTGAAACTTAAGTCAGTTGGTCAGTGTTCTCTCCTTCCTAGAGTATAAATAATATTCAGAATAGACAAGGGATGATCAAGTTTTGTCATTTCTCCTCTCAAAGGTTAGGCTTATAAATATTTTGTAAACAATCTTAATGCTTACATCACTTTATCAAGCAACATCAATCTTATCTGTAAGCATTTACTAATGTAGTTTGGGAGACAATATGAGTATATAGAGAGATAATTAACAAAACTAGTTCATATGTGTCAAATGTATAATACAGATACTACTAAAATTTAGAAATGGCAGGAATTACAAAATACTAGGATAGTTGGGGAAGCTTCATGGAGGAAATAGAAGTTGGATCTTGAAAGAAGATAAGACTTAGATAAGAGTAGAAAAATGGACTATGAATTGTGGATGGGCCATTTTTATGTATCTATTTTATTTGATTGATATCAGATACATTTTGATATGGCCTAATAATCAAAACAGGAAATAAAATTAAAAACTATAGTGAGGTATCATTTATACCTACTGTATTTATAAAAAATTCCCAAGCCTGACTGTTAAGTGTTGATAGGGGAGCTAGAGTGATGTGAACTCATCAAGTATATATCATCTATGACTTAGCAATTTCACCTCTAAGTATATCTAATCTAGAGAAGTGTTTTTCAAACATTTATTACTATGATTCCCACACTGAAAGAAATACAGTTTATTTCATGACCCAATATACACACACACACGAAGTATTAAATATAATAAAAGTTTCATATAATAGTAGCTATCCTCTATGTATGGATAATTAAGGTAAACATCAATGGTGTTTATATCAAATGTGAATTTAATAATATTGAAATAAAATAAAAGTCCCAAATTAAGCAGAAAAAAATTAGGAAGTATTTATGAAGTATGTCTGCTTATTTCATAAGTTTATTCTTATGGGCATAGTTTTTTGCTAAGAATCTATGCATCTCACTTTGATATTTTCTGTGGTGTTTTACTCCATTTAAAAAAGTGCTGATTGTGGTAACTAAATTGATTTAATGACCCAATACTTGAATGCAAACTGTAGTTTAATAAATACTGCCTGGGAGAAATTCTTGTATATCTGGAGACATGATTAAGGGTGTTCTTAGCAGCATTGTTTGTATACCCCTTTCCCTCAAATGAGAGATAGCTGAAATATATATGGATGAGACATAAATATAGCATATTTATATAATGAAATAATATTATACATCAGGGTAATTGAACTACAGCTACGTTCATTGTTATAGAGGAATTTGGGAACACATATTGAGCAAAAATACCAAGCCACATAATACGTATAGTATGATTTAATGTATAAGTTCAAAAATAAGCTAAGTTATACATATATTGAATAGGGATATGTGTGTGTGTGTGTCTTCAAACTATAAAGAAAAACAAGGAAAGAAAAGAATCAGAGTTGGAGCGAGTTAGTTATCATGAGAGTGTGCTTGTTATAAAAGCAAGTTCAGCACCCTCTTACTCTCTCACTGGCTTTTGTGCTTAATCTTGCACTTCTGCTGTGGGATGACACAGCATGAAGACCCTTGCCAAATGTCAGCACCATGCTCTTGAACTCCCTAGGCTCCAGAACTGTGAGCCAAAGAAACTGTTGTTTACTAAAAAAGAAAAAAATAATCAGAGTTTCAGGATAGTGGTTATCCTTGGAGGGAATAGGAGGTGAGGGGACATTCAGGAAATTGCAAAGATAATGGTAAAGTTATATTTCTTGGCTGAATGATGGTGAGTAAAGGGCTGCTGTTTATATTCATTTTCTTTATTCTTTACATATTTATCACAGATTATTTTTGTATATATTCAGTGTCTAAAATATTTATAAATAGAATATAAATAAACATTATAGCTTTAAAAAAGTAGAATATAGGAGATACTCTCAGTTTATTCCTAAAACTCAATCCACTTTTCTTTTTTTTTTAAATTTTTTTATTTTAGCATATTTTGGTGGTACAAGTGTTAAGGTTATGTATATTGCCCATGCCCCCCTCCCCCCTCGAGTCAGAGCTTCAAGTGTGTCCATCCCCCAAACTTTGTACATCTTACTCGTAGTAGTGTTTGTATATACCCATCCCCTACTCCCCCCTCCCACCTGCCCGACACCCGATAAATGTTATTCCTATATTTTCACTTAGGTGTTGATCTGTTAATACCAATTTGCTGGTGAGTACACGTGGTGCTTATTTTTCCATTCTTGAGATACTTCACTTAGTAGAATGGGTTCTAGCTCTATCCAGGAATATACAAGAGGTGCTATATCACCATTTCAGTCCACTTTTCATCCTGTTCCTGAATCTTACCATCATTTTCACTTTATCCTGAAGTCTTTTGGAGAGAGTTTGGTAGGGAGTAAATATGGGAGTACAAAATAAATCGATATTTAGTGATCAGCCTCAATGATAGATCAGAGATGGAATAAAGGTCTACTGAACATACAACTTTTAAAAAGTGCGTTTCTATCTTGGTATGTCAGACAAATGGTGCTATTGAATCTGATTTGTGATAATTATGTCAGGCCAGATAGTACATACTCAATAAATATTCGTTGAAAGAATGGCTGAGTTGACAAAAGTTGAAGAAGTTTAGGAAAGAGATAGTATCAGGATATGGATTTCAGTTTTAGCATGTTAGTTTGAAGTAGCAGCAGATAATCCAAGTGGAGGTGTCATATGGAAAGCTGGAAATGTGAGATTGGTGATTGGGAAAGTCAGGGCTAGATTAAGAGTTGGTTAGTCTTTCAGACAGAGGTAGGACTAGAAGTCAAGAGAAGGGGTAAATTTTTTGAGAGAAAAACCTATAAAGAGAAAAAGAGGGAAACTTAAGGATGAGTCATGGGTACATTTACCAGTTAGGTTCATTTAGGTATCTTTGGCAGTTGAGAAGAATATTCAGTTAAAAATAGTGGCAGTCTTAATATTCTGAATATATTTAGTACCAAAGCAAACTTGCCATTTTTTATTTTTAAAAATGATGTATGCCTTCACAACATCATAGTTGTTTTTCAAAAAATTTTCTAACAAATGACATTTAAATAAGAGAATAAGTAATTTTTATTTTAAGCTATAAATGCATTTTCTTTAATTAGAATATTTTGTAAAATCTTGTTTTTCTCCTTTACATACTAAATTCTGAAAGTTTGCTTTCTGAGTGTAGCTCAATATTCGGTGTCCAGTTTTTTTTGTGTGTGTGTGTTCATCATAAATGGGCACCATACTTGCATTTTTAGATGAAAATTCATGAACATGTCACAGGAAATGAGAATTAGGATTACAGACATTATTATGAAAGCTAGTTAATCCTAACAATAATCATAATCTAAGACCTTTAAAATAAAAATAATTTTTTCTTAAAAATAAAAGCTCACCACTAATTTAAATTTTTTCCACAGAGAGAATCAGTATTAAAACGGGAAATAAATGACCTTGTAAAACGGGAGATTGCAGTAGATGAAGAAAATGCCTTCTTAAGGAAAGAATTCAGTGACTTGGAGAAGAAATTTAAAGATAAAAGTCAAGAAGTTAAGGTGTGTTGACTTGTACATAGTTTTGTAGGACTGTTGCTTTGAAGTCCTGCTTTAAGCTTTGTCAGCCTTTGTGGCACAGGAAGTGACAGGCTTGGAGGAAAAATTGCCGTAGGCTCTGCTGTACCATACAGTTTTTTCACATGCAGAAACTCTGATAAAGATGCTTTAAAGCTAGAACTCCAAGCTTTATAACTTTCAGATAAATAGTTAATGATGGAAATGGAGCTAAGAAAGTAGGAGTGTGAATATGTGGCTTCTTGTAATTAGATTCTGATGGGACTGGCATTATTAATTGATAAAACCCAGGTCTGGGAGGATATGTCTGTGTGGGTCTCAAAAATAGCTGGGGACAGCATCAAAGGCAGCTTGATCAATTAATGGGCTCTTTGCAAATGTGTACTCATCAAAGCTGTCATCCAGTGAAAAAATATGACCCATCCACCTGCATGAAAAGAGGCCAATAAAAGTACACAGGTGACCTTGGCTATCAAATATAGAAGAAGCTGCTGTGAGGGTAAAACTGCACGGTTTATATTTGCTGATTAGTTCTCACTCTTTTTTGTTTTGTTTTTTTGTTTGTTTGTTTATTGGCCCTGTGGTACTGTTCTACAGGACACTAAGGAGTGTGTTCAGAATAAAGAAGAACAAAACAGACTAGTTATAAAAAATCTGGAAGAGGAAAATGAGAAATTAAGTACCCGCTGCACTGACCTGCTAAATGACCTGGAGAAACTGAGGAAGCAGGAAGCACATTGGAGAAAAGAAAAATATAGCATTGATGCAAAAATAAAGGTATACAACGAGAATGGAATCCACGCTACTATTTTGGATTTAACTTCTTATAGGAAGTTTAATACATGTTATTTTCTTTAAATAACAAGTTATATATTCAAATCCACCAGTGGGGACTAGCATTAATTTATATTCTTTCACTTAAGACCCACAGCTTTTTAAAAATTGATGTTGCAAAGCAGGAAACTGACTTCAAATAGTTATCCTAAAATGTAATCATTAAAAAATAAAGGCTATTGCATTTTGAAATAAAATGTATTTTGAAAAAACATATTTAGAATCATGGGTTTTTACTTTTTTCAATTAAGGTTTAAATTTATAATTATAGCTAGAATTCATTGGAATATAGTATTGACTTTATTTTCTAGGTCCTTTAAAAAATAAAGTATAAAAAAACACTAAACAGTTAAATATACTCATATGGTTCTAAGATGGTGCTTTCTTTAGCTTTAAAGGCCCTTATTCATAATAAAATTTTATTTTTATAGAAGATAAAAGTTATAGTCAATCTTTATAATATTCTTACATTCTCTTTTTTAAGACTAAACAAAGCAGTGTGTTCTTATGTCCTTTTTGATCAGCATTTTTCAAAATAATACTTTTCTGTGGTATTTTCTTTGTCTTGAGAAGGTTTTTGTTCATTTCTTTTTCCATCATATTTAGGTTCCTTTTACCATATATTTTGTTGAAAAGGCCAGAAACAAATTTTGGTGCTAGTAAATAGGTGTATGCACATAAAAAGGAAAAAAATATATATATAATTCATGTGTATGTATAGCCATTCAACAAATATAAACAGTTGGCCCTTCATATCCACAGGTTCTGCATTGGTGGATTCAATGAAATGTGGGTCAAAAGTATTTGGAAAAAACCAATAAAAAAATAACAATACAACAATAAAAATTAATACTAACAAAAATATAGTGTAACAACTACTTACATTGTGTTAGGTACTATAAGTAATCTTGAGATAATGGTTTACAATAAATGGGAGGATGTGTGTAGATTCTATGCAAGTAATATACTGTGTCGTTTCTAAAAGGGACTTGAGCATCTGTGGATTTTGGTATCTGTAAGGGGGTCTTGGAACCAATCCTCCTTGGATGACTGTAGTATATATATGGATATATATGTGTATGGTTGCGTGCATGAATTTCTAAGTTAGAGGAGAAGGATATATATTTCTGATGGTGTAAATCAATCCATTGCAGATATTTGAGGAAATATCTTAAATCTATTAGTGCACAATCAGGGAGTGACTGAGCCTGAACCATTGAGAAAATTGAATTCTGGTGCCTTGGTTTTCTTAATTTCATATCAGTTTCCGCTTCTTTCTACATCCTTTAAACAATTTGGTAGTGTGATAATGGTAAGTGGTACTTGTGTTAATTCACATTTACGTGATTAGTTGGTGATAATTTTTATTTCCTTATTTATGTCATTAAAATAAGTTCTATAATTTGCTGTGACTTTTAGTTCTGTGACTTTTTTCTATTGAGGTGTTTGTCTTTTTCTTATTGATTTGTAAGCATTCTTTTGCATACTAATGCTTTGTTATATATATTACAAACATACCTTCTGTTTTGTGAAACTCGAGTAAGGTAAATTGAACTTTCAAAAGTTTGTGAATTATAGAGTCAATTTTATTATTATATTTTTCTTCTTAATGTTCTTGTTTTAGGAGTTTTATATAATAAAGTTTTCTCTACCCCAAAGTTTTTAATCATTTTTAGATACGATTTTCCACATCATTTACTCAATAGTTTATTGACTTGTGTTGTGATCTCTCTCACATCTCCAAATTTTCTTGTGTGTATTGGTTTGTTTCCTATTATTTTCATCATTAAAGATTTGATAGTTTTATAATTTGACTCACTGTTTGGTAGGGAAGTCTACCTTTTTTTTTTTTTTTTTTTTGAGGCAGGATCTTGCTCTATTGCCCAGGCTGGAGTGCAGTGCTATAGTCATTGCTCCCTGCAGCCTCAAACTCCTAGGCTCCAGTGATCCTCCCTCCTCACCCTCCTGAGTAGCTAGAAGTACAGGTGCATACACCACCATGCCTGTCTGAGTTTTTAATTTTTTTGTGTGTGGTGACAAGGTCTGATTATGTTGCCTAAGCTGGTCTTGAAGTCCTGGCCTCAAGTGATTCTCCTACCTACTGTGCCTGGCTGGAAGTCTAGTTTTTTATTTTGTTAGTCATGAGCCCTATTTGTGTCCCTGATTAGGTTATAATATTAAGAATCATTTTTTATTAGTGTTAGTGAAAATGTTAGAAAGCAGATTGGAACCACACTTAATTTATGAATTAATTTTGAGAGAGTTGTGATTCTGCCATTCATGAATGTGTAGTAAGATTTTGTAACTTCCTCTAAAATGGCATTGCCCACTTCTATTAGATTTATTCCTAGCTATTAATATTATTGTAAATAACATTTTATTACAGGAAAATGTAATATTATTTCTATTATATTTTAAAATTGATTATTTCTGAAATACAGGAATGTTGATTTCTTTTGAGCTTTTATTCAACTGTTTTCTCCAACTGTCTAATTAGTTCTAATATGTTGTACATTCTTTTTGATTTTTCTAAGTTACACAGTTACATTGTCTGTCAATAAGAAAACCTTTTCTTCTCCTTTCCTTTTTTAAAAGCTTTATTGGAAGGCATATAACTCACATGCCGTACCTTTAATCTATTTAAAATATAGAATTCAATGGTTTTTAGTTTATGCACAAAGTTGTAAAATAATCGCCCTAATCAAATTTAGAATATTTTCATCACTCCAAAAGGAAACCCCTGTACCGTTTAATTTGCCTTTTATTACAGGTGGTCAGCCATGAACTGTGCCATGGGTAAGGAAAAGATACTTCTTTTTCCCCTACATATGCATATATTTTAAGTTCTCTTAGGTATGTACTTAAGAGTGAGATTATTGGGTCATATGGTAGCTCTGTTTTTAAGCTTTTGAGGAACTGTCAGCCTGTTTTTCAAAGCAGCTGTACCATTTTATATTGTCAGTAGCTGTCTGTGAAGGTTTTGATTTCTCCATGTCCTAGTCAACAGTTGTTATTGTCTGCTTTTTTTTATTATAGCCATCCTCATGGGTATGAAGTGATATCTTATTGTAATTTTGATTTGCATTTTCTTTATGGCTGATATTGGGTATCTTTTCATGTATTATTGGCCATTTATATATCTTTGGAGAAATGTCTATTTAAATACTTTGCTTATATACTGGATGCAAGTCCCTTATTAGATTTATAAATTGAAACTATTTTATATGTTATTTTTAATTTTTTTGATGATTTTTTTTTTTTTTTTTTTTTAATTAGAGGCAGGCTCTTTCGCCCAGGCTGGAGTGCACTGGCCTGATCATATCTCACTATAACCTCAAACTTCTGAGTTCAATTGATCCTTCCAAGTAGTCAGGACTATAGGCATGTTCCACTGCTCCCAGCCTTGATGGTGTTCTTTAAAACACACAAGTTTTTCATTTTGATGAGATTTTTTAAATTTACCTTTTTTTTGATGTTTCTTGTGCTCTTCATGTAATATTTAAGAAATCATTGCCTAATCAAAGGTTGAAAATATTGGTAACTATGTTTTTTCTAAGAGTTTTATAGTTTCATGTCTTTATGTTCTTTGATCTATTTTGAGTTAGCTTTTGAATATGGTGTGAGATATGAATCCGACTTCTTTCTTTTGCGTGTGTTATTCAGTTGTTACAGCACCATTTGTTGAAAAGATTATTCTTTTCCCCACTGAATTTTCTTGGTACCTTTATTGAATATCAGTTGACTACAATTATAAGGGTTTAGACCAAAATTATATTCCTTTGATCTATATACGTCTATCCTTATGCCTGTACCATGCTATCTTAATTGTTGCAGATTTGTAGCAAGTTTTGAAATTAGAATGTATGTCTCCTCCAAATTTATTGTCTTTTTCAAGGTAGACTATTCTGGGTCTCTTGGATTTTCATATAAATTTTAGAATCAGCTTTTCTGTTTTCATAAAAAAGCCAGCTGAGATTTTGATAGAAATCACTAGATCAATTTGGGGAGTATTATCATCTTAATACTAAGTCTTCTGATCCATCAACATGTGATTTCTTTCATTTATTCTTTAATTTGTTTCCAGTTTTATATTTTTCAGAGTATAAGTTTGTACTTCTTTAGGTAAATATATTCATAATACTTTATTCTTTTGGATGCTATTATAATCATAATTTCTTAATTTTAATATCAGATCATCTATTCGTAGTTTATAGATATACAGTTTTGTTTATTGATCTTGTGTACTACAACTTTTCTGAACAAGTTTACTAATTCTAATTTTTTTTAGTAAATTCCTTAGAGCTTTCTACATATTATATTATACCATCTGCAAATAGAGATAGTTTTACTTCTTCCTCTATAATTCTGATGCTTTTTTTTTTTCATTTAGTATGTATTGCCCTGGCTAGAACCTCTGGTACAATGTTGAATAGAAAAGGAAAGAGTAGACATGTCTTTTTCCTGATCTCTAATCTCTCTCTCACCTCTAATTTCGTCTCTGATTTTAGTTACTTGCATCTTTCTCTTTTTTTTTTGTCAAAGGTTTGTCAATTTTATTGGTGTTTTCAAAGAATCAAATTTGCTTTGATTCTCTCTATTGTTTTACTATTCCCTTTTTAAAATTTCTACTCTAATCTTTATTTCCTTCTATGTTTAGGTTTAGTTTGCTATTCTGTTTCTAGTTTCTCAAGGTACAAAGTGAGGTTATTAATTTGAAATACACCTTTTTAAAACATGTAGGCATTTGTAGCTACAAATTCCTTCTGAACAACTACCTTTGCTGTGTGCTGTAAGTTAGGGTATGTTATGTTTTCATTTTTAGTCATCTGGAAATATTTTATAACTCAGTTTTGATTTCTTCTTTAATCCATTGGTTGTTTGAGTGTGTAGTTTCCACATATCTGTGGATTTTTTTCTCTTTTCCATCTGTTGATTTCTATCTT